GGACAGACAGACCCTGACGCTGCAGCCCCGACACCACCGCTAACAACTGACAGTACAGACACCAGGGAGACGCTGATGAATACAAGACTTGACCAAAAGTTTGTTGTAAAACCAGGAGAAGACGACGTTAGGATTTGGGTGAAACTGTCAATCAATCAAAGAAAATCATTAGATTAACGATGATGATGATTATTAATTATCACATCAGTTAGCTGCTCAGTCACAGGTCAGTGAGGCCGGGCTGACCTCTGACCTCACGTTGAAGCTGGATGACCTCCCTCCCAACTGTGTCTTAGAACTTTTTGACCAGTCCTCAGGACTCTTCATTAATTCATTCATTGATGAACATTAACGAGGTGACCTCTCCTCCAGGTCATGTGACCCCCCCCCCACACACACTACAGTGTTGGTGTTACCATGTACCGTACCATGTGACTGACACTTTGTCTTTTCTCACCGTGGTCGACTGCTTGCATTTGCCCACGTTGCTGCTCGCCACGTTCAACCCGTCCACGACGACGTCAAAGGGCGCTCTCTGCTTCACAAACTCTTTGAAGTATCCCAGCTCCTGTTGGGGGAGGGGGGAGGAACGAGGGACGAGGAGGGGGGACGAGGGACGAGGAGGAGGGACGAGGAGGGGGGAGGGACAGACGTGACGTCAACAGCTGGTCAAACACTGAGTCTCTTCTTCAGTTTGAGGTTAAAACCTGTGGATGTTGAAAAGTCAGATCAGTCTGTAGACGTAGACACTCTGGAGGTCTGTGGTCAGTGGTGGTCTGTGAGGTCTGTGGTGGTCTGTGGAGGTCTGTGGAGATCTGTGATGGTCTGTGGTGGTCTGTGGTGGTCTGTGGAGGTCTGTGGTGGTCTGTGAGGCAGGTGAACAATATTTTTCTGCCATTTTCTTTCAGTTTAATGAAGAAATATCTTAGGGGCAGTGGTGGCTCAGTGGATCAGTGGCTCAGTGGATCAGTGGATCAGTGGATCAGTGGTTCAGTGGATCAGTGGTTCAGTGGGTCAGTGGTTCAGTGGATCAGTGGTTCGGTGGATCAGTGGTGCAGTGGTTCAGTGGATCAGCAGATTACCCACAAGTCATTGGTGTTGGAAAGGTTGAAAGGATTCTACATGTAACTAATGTATAACTCCATGTTTTAGAGCTGTAGGTGTTGGTACCCTGGGTGTCGTCTTGGTGAAAATGTCTGGTCCCTGAATCACGTCGGTCATCACTCGGTCTTTGAGCTGCTGATACTCTTCCACCGTCAGCTGGATGGACTCCAGGTCCGAGCCACAGCACCTGCAGGAGCCGCTACACACACACACACACACACACACACACACACACACAGGTCAGTCAGGGTTGATGGTGCGTGACCTTAGTCCTGTGTGTTAACGGACACAGTACGTACCTGGGGTGGACACTGGTCCAGCGTCCGGTCCATTTCTGCCCTGGTAGACTGTCAGGAACAGAGAGGGAAGAACAAGGAGGTTCTGAAACCGGTTTATGCTTCTGCAAAAGAATGTCGTAAAAGTAGAGAGGTAACGGTGCGTCGGGAATCGGTTAAAAAAAATGGATACAAATCTGTGACGACTTGAAATGAAAACTGACTGGTCAGACCATGACACTACACACTCTAGTCCACTAGGTGGCAGTATGCTCCTAAAAGTGTTGGTTGTGACCCACTATTAAACCCTGACACCAGAGGGCATTAATGAGCACACTAACTCTCCCTGGTTCAGTCCACTTCCTGGTTCACTTCCTGTTCCCGTCCACTTCCTGGTTCACTTCCTGTTCCCGTGTGGCGGTTCATACCTTTCAAACCAAGCCTTGATGCTGTGGGCCAGCCGCTCCTGCGGGTATATCTGGTTGTTCCTCATGTAGTGCAGAATTCCCAGCAGCCTCTGCTGCTGTTGGTGCAGAGACGTGGTCTGTCCTTCAGTGTCCTTCACCACCGGCTGAAATAACGAGCTCCAGGTCTCCTGGAACGGCGTCTGTCCATTGTCCATCAGCTCCTGGTAAAGAGTCCAGGCAGCGGTCAGCTGACCGTGGCGCATCAGCGCCGCGATCACGTCGCCGTAGTTTCGTGCTGAAGGCTTGAAAATCTGTGGAGATAAGAGTGAAGTCAGAAGATGAGCAGGAACTGAAACAAGGGTTCTTCTCCGGCTCCACACCTGTTTCACCTCCTGGAGGAGGCTCAAGGCCCGGCTCCAGTTCCCAGTTCGGCTGAAGGACCGGATGAACAGGCTGGCTGCTCCCGTCTCCAGACAAGAGAAGCTGCTCCGCATGATCTCGTAGACATCAGGCACTTCGTGGTCGTGGCCGTGACATACGCACAGAGCCAGGTAACGCAGCAGGAGGTTGTAGGACAGCGTTCCTGTTTCCGTGGCAACAAACGTCAACAGAGACCTGAAGCACATTTGACAACGTTCACGTGAAACAGTTGATTTGAACAAACTGAAAAGGTTGCAGTCACAGACACGACTGACTTGGCCACTCTCAGCTCTGACTTGGACGCCAGCAGGACGTTCATCATGGCGATGTCAAAGACCTTCAGGTTTCTGTGAGACTCCCGCAGGAGTTTCCACTCGGCAGGAGTCAGTGGTCGGTCCGGAGGCTGCAGCCGTCCTGTACAGACAGGCCGTCAGTTGTGTTTTTCTTTGACGTAAATGTTTTTAGATTCGGTTTAAAAAGTACCTTCTGTTTTGGCTGCTCCTCTCTCGGTGTGCTCCTCCTCCACCCCCTCTCTCCTTCTCTGGATCTCCGCTCTCTTCTTTGCCGTCCCGGCAGAAAACACCGAGCTGGGATGGAAGTGTAGAAGAGCGGAGCTCCGGGCTTCTACACCTCGGTGTTCTTTACTCGGTCCATCGTGTCTGTTAACCGTTTTTCTAAAGTTGGACTTACTGTCTCTGGAACTCAGAGAATGAGCGGCGTGAAGAAGCTTTGATGACGTACGGACTGGGTTCTTTACTGTGGAAAAAGAGCCGCGGACTTTGAAGAACGCACTGATGAAATACGAGGCCATGTTATTGTTAAAACCTGGTCACGAACATCATCCCAAGTCACCAATAATAACCAAAAATCCTATCACACAAACACACGTGGTGATGATCTGTAAATAAAAGAGCTAAGATGCTAAAGCTAAGATGGAAGAAAACAAAACACATCGATAAGTCTACGAACCAAAACGGTGGTAAAACAAATTAGACAAACTCTTTGTTTTTCTAAATTTTAAGTTACAACAACAGCGGTCATGAAACCTCACACACATTCTCAGGGCAGTCGCAGTCCTTGACGTCATCAACACGTGACAGCATAAGACAACGGAAAAGGAAAACATTTCAAAATTAAATACTGGAGCAACGTATGTCAATTCATTATGAAGAGAAACGTGGCGGAAATGTATTTATACTAAAACGTGATGTATTTTTAAAAGCAAAGAATCGTGTTTTTATACGACAACCACAAAACAAATATAAACAACCGCGTTCGAATTTGACTTTTATTCTGAAGCCGGAAACTGCATTTGTTGACTGTCGTGACGCTGTTTTAGTTACGTCCGTACGTATGAAAACTTTTGGCTGTTTTATTATTGATTTATTATTTGTTTTTACGCCTCAAATCGACAGAAGCAGTTATGGACGAGGAAGAAAAGCTTCAGTGGTCGGATATATTGAAAAGAAGGACAGAAAACATCAAAAAAGGTAAAAGACTTTAGGCTAACTTCAGCTAGCATATCTTCTTTTTCCATCGGCTTTGTCCCTTTTCTTTTCAGGAGTTGCTGCAGCAAATGATTGATTTCCATCTGTCCCTGTTCTCTACATCTCCTCCTCTGACTCCAACTATCTGCATGTCCTCCCTCACTGCATCCATATATCTCCTCTTTGTCCTTCCTCTCTTTCTCCTACCTGGTAGCTCCATCTCTAACATCCTTCTACCAATGTCTCTACTGTCCCTCCTCTGGACATGTCCAAACCATCTCAATCTGGCTTCTCTGTCTTTGTCTCCTAACCTTCCTGTCTGTGTTGTCCCTCTAATGACCTCATTCCTGATCCTGTCCATTCTTTGGTCATTCAAAATTGGTCAGTTTTTGAAACATTTTAGTTAAAATCTTTGAAAAAAAATGTTTTTTCAAAAAATTTTGAATTTTTTTTCTTGAAATTATTTTTGAAAATTTTTTTTGAATTTTTTTTTGAATTTTTTTTTTGAAAAAAATGTATCCACTGTCCCTCCTCTGCACATGTCCAAACCATCTCAATCTGGCTTCTCTGTCTTTGTCTCCTAACCTTCCTGTCTGTGTTGTTCCTCTAATGACCTCATTCCTGATCCTGTCCATTCTTGTCACTCCTAGAGAGAATCTTAGCATCTTTAACTCTGCCACCTCCAGCTCCACCTCCAGCTCCACCTCCTGTCTTCTACCTACTGCTACCGTCTCTAAACCATACATCATGGCTGGTCTCACCACCGTCCTGTAAACCTTTCCCTTCACCTTAGCTGACACTCTTCTGTCACAGATCACTCCTGACACTGTTCTCAGCTGTTCCATCCTGCCTGTCCTCTATTCTTCACCTCTCTTCCACAGTCTCCTCTGCTCTGAACAGTTGGTCCTCACTACCTAAACTCCTGCACCTCCACCACCTCTGCTCCTTCTAACCTCACTATTTCACTGTGCAACTGCTTCTGTTCAACCAGATGAAAAAGGCGAAAAGGAAGAACAGGACGAGACCACGTTGTTTACTAAATATTACACCGAATGGAAAGGAGGCAAAGACAGAGACCGGTCGTACAAGAACATCCCACGGTTCTACTACAGGGTACACTTTCAGTACACTTTCAGTACACTTTCAGTACAAAACAGTCGAGGTTCATCAACAGATGTTGGATTTTGTAACGACATGTAACAAGTCAATAATAAAATGTTGCACCTTTTTTTTTTCCATTTCAATAAAGAGGACGTTTGAGTGACTGTAATCAAACAAACCACTGAAATAGAATTTTAAAAGAAATCCTGAGTAGTTTTACCAACCTGTGACTGCAGTATTACTGCATACATTTGACAGGAACTCAGTGTTTATACTTCACAGCCTGGTTGGTCGTTTCATATTATTGAAAATGTATAAAAACAACAACCAGTAATATATTTGATAATTAACCCCTAATTAACTGATGTTTTAACGACTACACTGAGTGAGGAGCCATGACAGCTGAAGTAACAGTGCAGTTCCTACAGCTGCCAGCAGAGGATGAGGTGTTACTGCAGAAGCTGAGAGAAGAATCCAGAGCTGTGTTTCTCCAGAGGAAGAGTCGAGAACTGCTGGACAACGAGGAACTGCAGGTGACACGTTTGGACCAATGACATCGCTGGATTGTTGATCAACTTTGATTTACTCGATTCTCTTTTTGTCCTTCGACCTTCTGTAGAACCTGTGGTTCCTCCTGGACAAGCACCAAGTTCCTCCACTGAGTGGAGATGAGGCCATGATCAGCTATGAAGCCTACCTGCAGGTCGGGGAGAAGGCGGGGCCAAAATGCAAGTGAGTACCAGGAAGTAAATGTTGATTGGCCGTAACAGTTTCAACAGGTGTCTCCAGATGTTCCTGCCACACCGTTTACTTGGTTCTGATTGGTTCTCACAACACAGCCACGTGTTACCAGTGGTGGCTTAGTGGTTAAGGAAGCGGACCTGAGTCTGGAAGGTTTCAGGTTCGAGTCCACCAGCTGCCACTGAGGTGCTGCCCCCTGCTGACTGGTGGTGGTGGTGGGCTCAGGTCACTGTTAGCCTCGGACAACAACAAAGACAGCAACAAAACAAAGTGTTGGACTAAAAGAAGAGTTTGTTACCCAGAATGCAACACCTCTCCTTTTCTCTATTTTCTGTAGAAAATTCTTCACAGCCAGAGTCTTCGCCAAGCTGCTCAACAACGACCCCTATGGCCGAATCTCCATCATGCAGTTCTTCAACTACGTCATGAGAAAAGGTTTTGTACAAAATCTGCTGTTATTTTTGGACAGTGATGTAAAAACGTATTTATTTGTTTGTTTGTTTGTTTGTTTGTGCAGTGTGGCTCCATCAGACCAGGATCGGTCTGAGTCTGTACGATGTGGCAGGACAGGGCTACCTCAGAGAGTCTGTGAGTCAGTTCTACTGTGTCTCACACACACACACACACACACACACACACACTGACTGTGGACCGCTGCAGGACCTGGAGAACTACATCCTGGAGCTCATCCCCACGCTGCCTCAGCTGGACGGACTGGAGAAATCCTTCTACTCCTTTTATGTCTGCACGGCTGTTCGCAAGTTCTTCTTCTTCCTCGACCCGCTCCGAACAGGTGAGACTGAGCACCCCCCCCCCCACACACCCACACACACACCCACACACAAGTACAGGGTTTATTGAGATTTGTTTTCTTTGGGTCCAAAATGTTTCAGTGACAAAAATATTTTCTTTTTTTTTTTTTCAGGAAAGATTAAAATTCAGGACATCCTGGCGTGTAGTTTCCTGGATGATTTGTTGGAGGTAAAATGTTCTGACACTCGTCAAACGTCACACCAACCTATGGCTGGCGGCCCAGCTGTGGCTCTGAATCCCAGCTGCCATTTCTTAACAGAATAAGTCAGAAATAATTTCAGTGATATTCCAGTCAGACGTTAGAGACGTCCTAGAGTTGTTTTGTGTTTTGTGTTTTGTGTTTTGTACTGGCTCTCTCTGACTCGTGCTTCTCCGTCTGTGGTTCCAGCTCAGAGATGAGGAGTTGTCCAAGGAGAGTCAGGAGTCCAACTGGTTCTCAGCACCGTCAGCTCTCAGAGTCTACGGTAAGGAGGTGGTCCAACCTCTGGATCATCATCAAACCTTGTACGTGATCAATGATACGTTTTGTTTTTCCACACCTGTGAAAACCAAACAGCAGCACAAGAAGAATGAAGGATCAGACTTTGGCTTCAAGGTCTGTTCTGGAAAAGGTCCAGTTAATGATCAAATGAATTCATGACGGACCTCAAACATGGACCTCGTCAAAACCATGACGTATTTGATGAGTTAGATAGTAGAAAATGACTTTGATAACTGTTTGATTCCTCACAGACTTATACTGATTGGTCTTAGTTTAGTCTTCAGAGGTAAATATATATATATATCCCCCCCCCCAC